ACACGCTCGATGCTCATGAACAGTCTTCCCTTTTTCGTTGACTGTGACAGGCGTCGCAGGAGCAAGCATTTCGGGAATAGCTGCTGCAACGGCTGCCGGCGACGGGAGCTTAGTGACTGTGCCCCCCTGACCATGAACAGCGTGATTGGGCTGAACACAGACGGCCGTGGCAGCTACGTCTGCAGCAGCTGGCTTTGCCTCCTTCTTCATCGCGAGCTCTTTGCGATACTCCTCAGCAACACGAGCGCGTTCTTTGGGAGAGGCAAGTTTCCACATATCTGATGGAATACCAGGTGGACGACTTGACTTTCGGGCTCTCACCAAACGAAAACCATCCCATTGAAACCCAGGTGGAACTGCCGACCCATCCGGCATGTGATCAGGATCGTGATCAGCAAGTCCCTCGGCAGGTGCGGGAGGATCTTCCATCAAAACCTCCTCCGGCACAGCTGCTTCGCCAGGCTGCAAATGTGACTCCGGCTCATATTCCAATTCATCCGGAGAACACGGTTTGTCGTCGGCAATAGCTTGCTTTGCGGGAAAAACAAACGTCTCATCAAGCAGACTGAACTCATACTGCTTGACGCGGAGGGGATTAATATCACCCGTCTGCAACTTGTCCGGCAAATTCTTGAGCGGCAATACCAAAATTTCATGCGTGTAGGTAAAGCCAGGTTGCACATGATAGCCAACAAAGATGCCGATATCCGAAGTTGGCAGAAACTTGGACTGCTTCGAATCGACGCGCTGACGATTGATCCAATACGACAATTTTGCACCAAATGGGATCTTCGTGTCAGGAAACTCATCACCAAAACGCAAAGCCCACGGCGACTTATCCTTGTCATCTGGAATTGTAACATTGAGGGCAAATGCATGATGTTGAGCTGCCAAAGGCCAAAGCTCAACCGGCAAACCACTTTGAAACAGATTTGCTCTTGCTCCCTCCAGAATTGTTCGAATCTCGCGCTCGATCACCCCGGAAGATTGACTGACATATGGCTGGCTTAGCACGTGTCTCCAACCCATACTCTTTACTGCAGCTGCAATCTCGCCAGAATTGTCAGAATAGAAAATCCCAACATGATCATCTGGCTTCGTGAAATGTTGAAATGCACGAACGCAACTGTCAGCATCTTGCCTTGCTGAAGGGTAAAAATACCGGAACTGCGTGAACACATCTTTCACGACCAAAGCATTCCACTCGCCCTTGAACCCATACGTCTCATCATTTGAAATGACGTGGTCAGCAGTCACATGATCTCCAAATGCTTTTGCATCCACCGAAGAAGATCCATGTCTGCGACGAGCCTGAGGTGCTTGCATCTTTGATCGCACACACGTTTCGCAAAAGGGGTTCTTGGGCCTGTGAGTGAAAAGATGCTCTTCACTTTTGGCCTCACGCATCATCATTTCTTTTGAACGCTTTGACATCGGTTTTGAAGCTTTCTCAACCTCAGGGTTGTCCTCCAATTCCGGATCAAACTCCGGTTCCAGCGGTTCAGCTTCATCAGGGCGCAATGGAAACGATGCAGCATCCGGCGGAGGTTGCCCTCCGCTTGAAGATGAAGGCACTTCAACGCCCCCGATCTTCTGATCGGATGCAGCAAGAGCAACAGGCATAGCTGATTCAGAAGCTATGACCTCGCACTGATCGTCAACATGTGGAACTCGCCCATCGAGCTTCAATATTACCGCTTTCCCGTCAGGTCGCACAAAGTACGGAGCACTGTTCTTTCTCCATACGAAATCGTACCCCTTTTCCAAACATCTTTGACCAACAGAAAGGACAGCTGGCGTGCTCGGCAAAACATACGGAGTGACGACCTCGTTCAACTGATCAATGGAGAAGTCCGCAATCTTGTCTGCACAAATTGATCCATTTGCTGTTGAAAGATTGATTGGAGTCAATGCAGGATTTATCTTCTTTTGAAGTGTAACTGCACGCTCAGAGTCAACCAGATCTTGTTCACTACCTGTGTCGACAATCCACTGACGAAGCCCTGCTGGTGCTGGCGTAGCAATGTACTCCGGCACATCATCAAGGTTCGTTTCATCATCATCAATCCAACAGCCAGGGCAATATAAACCGCAATAAATTGGGTCATTGTCATCATAGTATTCGCAATAGAACCCACAAGGCGCGTTGTAGTTTGCATGCATCAAGTCAACAACCCCTTCCAGAATCAAAGCTTTGTCTTTAGCATCGATCAGATCCTTGGGATTTGAGCCAGGCGCACAACCATCATACCACACAACCTCAGGGTCATTTGGCTTTGGAGCACATGATAGGCGTAGCCCGTTGGCCTCGATCTCGACGATCTCGACATTGTCTGCGAATTTGACGCATCTGCGGGTATTGGAAACATCTGTACTGCAAATGAAAATTGTTTGCCCAGTCCAGTATTGCTCCAAACCTTCATCAGGATCCGCCCAGAAATCACCAAATACTTGCTCTTTGCCATTGATGTTGGCGTTGGTGATGCGCTGATCCAATAAACGTTCCAGCGAAATCGGAAGGTCTTTTGCACTCTTCGGATCATAAAGCGCTTTTCGAGGCATCACATGGTGTCGAATAACCATCTCGTTCGCCGAGTCAACTTCCCAGAAATCTTGCTTTGGGCGGCATGCTGCGAGGCATGCATTGGTCTCTTTCACCCTCAGACACACAGCGGCTGAGGACTCGCCCTTTTTGCTCTGGGATCGCTTCCTCCCTTTTCCCTTTGGGGTGGGAGACCTACCTCTGCTGGCTCCTTTCTTTGGGCTCGGCTTATCTGTTGCTGGTGCAGCAGACCGAGTCTCATGCGAAAACGCACAGTTGTCTCCACGAGTGCATTTCCCCTGACCGCCTTTGAAAAACCTGCAGGGGATCTTCTTCAGCTCCGCTCTCTTTCTCGATGCCGACCGATCCCTGTCTCTCGCTTGGCTGTCAGAGCGCCCCCGACCTTTTCCTTTCGGATTTTGGCTCGGGGGTCTTGGGTCTTTCTCATGCTTGTAAATGCAATTATCCCGAGAGCACTTGCCTTTCTGAAAATCATAGCAATACCTGACCGCTGAAGGATCTCTTGCACGCCCAGGATTTGCATTGGGAGCTGGAGCGCCGACCTTCTGATTGTGAGCTCGAGCAACACGATCACGATTTGACTGCAATCGCTCCCGAGTCAAAACATCACGAACGGCTTGAACAAGAAACTCGTAGCTCTTGTCATGCGACCCATCTTTTGCACGCTCGTATGTATCGAGGTCATACTTGATCTTGTGACATCCACGAATCTGTCGCAAGAAAATGTCCTTCAAGACGTGCTGCTCCGGAACGATCTTCATGCCAGCAATGACGGAATCCCAATTCTGAATAAAGGTCATCAAATCATTGCCATGAAGCACCACCTTCAACAAATCTTCAGTGGAATACAACGCTCCGGCCTCCTCATTTGTTCTGAAATACTGCTCAAACATGAGAAGAACTTGACGTCCCCGGACAACTTTGTCCAAAGCAGCTTGTTGCTCCTTGTAGGTGAGGATCTGCCGACTAAGGTCGCCCCTAGCAATCCGCGACAAGGCCGCAAGAAGCTTTGTATCCAACGTTTCAAACTGCTCTGGATCTCCAAGCTCTAACATGAGATTCTTCTTGTCCTCCCGGTTGACGTACACCTTGTTAACCCAGGTGAATGCAGCATCAGGCCGATCTGAGGCGGCCCGAATCTCTTCGCGAGTAGCCGTTTTCCAGGCTCTATAGGTCTCAGGAGTAGGAAACTCACTCAGCCTCAACGAATCAGCTTCCTTTGCTTTTGGCCGATCATGCTGATTCCGGACGAAGCCGAGGAGGGCCGCACGGAACTCCGCCTCGGTGGTCTCGGGACCAGTCAACCGATCAATGTTCGGCTGATTTGTCGACTGATTTTGCTGACTTCGGCTGTTCTCTTGCTCCGAAGACCGTCTCGCATGATCTTTGATATCAAACTGCATTGCACCAGAAATAGGATCAGTCCAACTCTGCTGTGGAATAATCTGTGGCATAGTTCCAGAAGTTTGTGCATTCTGCGTTGGAAAAAGACGCGGATCATCAAAGATACTGCCCCTCTTATCCAAAAACGACTCCGAACTGACGTTCTGTACACTTGACGCAGGCTGAGGATCTCCGCGCACCATTTCACGCTGCGCCTTTTCGAGATCGTTTCTCAGACGCTCAACGGTGTCGTTCAGCCCGTTGATCGTGTCCTGCATGGCGTGATTCTCCGCCAATATACTGTCTCTCTGCTCACCGACCGCCTTCTCCGAGTTCTCCATCACAACAGTCTCAGCATGTAAGCTTTGTGCGAAAGCGCTATACTGTGCCGTTCTTTGCGACACAGCTTCGTTCACTTCGGCAGAAATTGCTCCCCGCATCTGGCCAATCTGGGCGCTGAAGAAAGCGCGGGACTCTGCGAACTGCTCGTGCAGCTCAAGGGTCCGGCGGTTGTTCTCCTCGTCCAGGCGATGCACAGTTTCCGCCAAATGAGCGCTATATTCCGCCCTTGCAGCATCCATAGCAACGCGATGTAACGTGTTGGCCTCTTCCCTAACAGCGTCACCCGTGTCGTTATGCGCATGCATGATGTTCTGGGTGGCTTGATAGTTTGTCGCGAATCCGAATACGTTTCGAGGATCGCGAGGGTCGACAGGACCATTGGGTGCAACTGCACCTTCACTACCGTCACCAACATCTCCAGATATATTGTAAATGGCAGGCATATCTCCGGATGCCATGGCGATCTTTGTACAAGCCTTTACGGCTGATAACCTGTGTTATCAAGCCTAGGCCACCTAAGGGAATACCTAGGCAAGCAGCAAACCGTTGACTACTTTTCACACTGCTGTCAGTGCTCTTGAAGTCTGTAGCGGCGGAGCATGTACAAGTATACTCATGCACAGGGTTGGAACCTGAATCCACATTTACATGCCAAAATGTGCAGGTGATGCATCTTGACAGGCCATCTTGAATCCGCCACAAAGGTTCCAGCTGTGTTCCACTCGCTGAAGCCGGACTCCTGCAGTTCGAAAGTACACTTCACAAATTGATTCAAGTAGAAAGAGCCTTGCTGGTGACATAAGGCATAGGATTCGGTCTTAGGATTTGTTATGGGGTGTTGGCGGGGACATGAGGTGACGGAGCTAGTGCACTTAGATTGTGATGTACTCATATTCCAGGCACACCTAACGCAAACATTCATGTTCTTCTCCGCATGGCTGCATGACAAAGACTTTTTGACATTGCTTGTCTGCGCTGGCTACCGCTCAGCCCTGACATGGCACAAGAATATGCGTGGGAGTATGAGTCTGCGCTTGCGCGGGTGTACGCATCATGACACAAAGATGTGCTTGCGAGTGTGGATGCGGGTTTCTTGGAATCCCAAACTCAAAGCGGCCCCAAGGGGCCCAAGCGCCCTGTGCAGTCCCGCCTTGGGCTTCTCTGGGTCGCTGGGTGCCCTGGGCTGGGTGCGCTTCGCCAAACACAGTTAATCCGTCTTAACTCAGAAAGAAAAAAAAACACGCCAAAAGGATGAAACGCGATCCGACGCAAAGACGGTCTTGGACCTAGCCGAGCAGCCCTCCCGCCGCATCCGCACCGTGACTAGAGCTGGCATAGCGCTGCCTAGGCTCAAGGCACCATGGAAGTTGGGCCGCACGTTTTGAATTGCTCGAAGCGCTGCAAGAAAGATGTAAATAAAGAAAAATATGTCAACAGTATCTAGATCGTACCCTTGCTTCCCGCAGCCCAAATCGACCCTTCCTCGTGTTGCCTCGTTGCCTCCTCGCGGAGATCCAAAAAACTGCTCAACAGTTGAGCAGTGCTGAAAACTCCAAAAAGCGGTACTCTGAATTTGCTTTCGCGGACCACATGCTTTGCTTTCCCCCTCACTGCTTCCCTCAGGTTGGCTTTCGCGGTGCTTTTGCGGCGGATGCGAAGCAGGCCGGGATCGAAACACGCGTCAGGAGCGTGGACTTCAGCCTCTTGGAGCTCAGCGCAAAGGTAGAGAAACGACGAAACAAAGGTAGAAAAATGAGCTCTGTTTTCGCGGCCTTTCCGGGGAGAAGAAGCAACACGCGCCACTCTTGCTGGAAAACTGATGAGCCGGGGGAGCGCGCCTGGCTTCCCGGGCATCGCTGCTGGACAAGTCAACGCGGGCCTGCGAGCCAAAGGCCCATGGGAAAACATCCGGCATTGTGAAACTCCGACTCACATCCAAGATGTCAAAGCCGCATGGCGTGATCAAATGGTCAGGGCTATGGATACAAATCTCATAGCTGTCCCTGGCCCTGCCCTTGACGCTTAAGCCCAGGCGGAAAGCTCAGGGTTTTGGACGAAACCATTGAACAACCCGCCTTCATGCCAAGTGCAAAGAGGAAAAAGCAGGACCTGACCATCCGCGAGAAGCGCTGTCCGGGTGCATCTCTTGGGCAGCGGCATGGCGTCGAAGGCACAGAATTGCCATGTCTTGTCCTGAACCTTCAGCACGGGTCAGAAACATCAGCGAAGAAAACGCACCAAGCAAAAAGGCTCGCTCAGCTAGGGACAAAGATCAGCAGGCAAATTCTCAGCACAAAGGCGAGATAGCTACCTGGTTGGCGCACATAGACAGCCTTGATCCAAGCATGCAATTGCAGCCCCTGTTTTGTGAAGTGCGCGCCTGTCAGGATGAGCACGGTCTGCACTTGCCGGTCTGGGTGGTTGCGAATTCCTTCCCAGGGGCACCTGAAGGCAAATCTTGTGGGGGGGCTTTCGCAAACTGCGCAAACCAGATAATGTTGGCGCTTGATTAGTGATGTGGACCAGAATATATAGAGTCCACCATTTGTCTTATTCCAGCCTCCACCAGAGGGAAAACGCCGAGGAAGAGCAAACAGTTTTAGCTGCGAACAAACGCTGCCAGTAATCATGGTCAATAGGGGTCATTGCCGAAAAGCACAATCAACATGACCGGGCGGCACTCTGTCCAGAAGGGCTGTCCCAAAAAGAAACTGGTCATCCGGACAATTTTCGTTGATTCACATTTAGCCGAACACCGAACCTGAAGGAACCCAAAGAATTGACGTCCCAAACCCCTGCACACCCCAACCGTCCCACGTTTATGTGTGATTTAAAGCGCTTTTTTGCATATGGTTCACAATCTGAAACGTCCATGGCTAGAGAATCCTCAGTGCAGGGCTAAAGAACAGCCTGCGCATGGCCAGACTGACGCTTGCATGTGGAGGGAGAAACTCAACATAAATCAATTTTAGCAATCACCCCAAAACCAGGTTTGGACCATACCAAACTGTGTTCCCAGAAGCACCCCTCTGAGACTCTGAGAATGAATATTCTTTACTAAGCCTTGTTAAACGTTGAAAAGCAACAATCAGGACAAGGGTAGCCCACACAACACCCCCAAAACCAGAAGTTGGGCCACTCCTTCAGTAAACTGCCCCCAGCCCACCCCGCCATCCCCAACTTTGCGCATTGCTTTTTGCTCTTGAAGCAGCCCCCTTCTATCGGCCCACTAAGCTTTGTCAGTCACAGAATCCAAACTAACTGTGACCCTGATCTTCCCAGTAAGAAGCAGCTTCAAGACAAAAGTAGTATTGCAAAAAAAAAACTGCAAGAAGTCGTTGGCAGACTAAAGTAGTATTGGGCCCCCGGGGGGCCTGCATTGGTTGGATGTCCCGTCCCCTATTCTGAAGCGTCCATTGTTCAGGGGAGGCCCGTCATTCATCAGGTATCAACGTTAAAATGAATCTAAGTCTTGGACCATGCCGCCAGGATGGCGCTCAAGAAGAAGGTTTTGCTGCCCAGCCTCGGTAGGTACGCCCTCGCACACTCAAGGGCACCAGCCGCCGATCCGAAGAACCCTCAAAGCCTTCCCGTCGCCACTCGGGTGCCCAGCTGTGCAATGCTGGTCCTAGGGAGAGTGCAACTTGAAAAGCTGCAGTTCGTCACGCGGACTTGGCATCTTGTGGCCTGTCTCAATATCTGTGCCGCCCTCCTCTAAGACTCCTAGATCTTGGCCATCATCCAATATCATTTCATCAAGGCGCACTGAAGCTTAACCGGTCGAAAGTCCTCAGGACGAAGTTTCCGAAGATGGCTGCATCGAGTCCCATGGCAGGTTGTTCAATGTCCTTTTCTCACGGAATGCAAAGTAGACTTGTTCCGGGCACTTCCAGCTTCAAGTCGCTGCGCAATTCTTGAATGCACGAAACAAACAT